TCTTCTTCTTCTTCTTCTTCTTCTTCTTCTTCTTCTTCTCCGCCGGAGCACTTCTCGCAGCCTTATCAGCCGCGCCCACGCTCGGGAACCTCCACCAGTCATCGCCTCCGTCCACATTCCTCGTCTCCTTCCTCACCCCAAACCCTAGCCCCACCGGGTACCCGTAGCAGAAGCCGCCCGCTTGCAGGCCGCCGTTATCGGTAAAATCGCAATTGTAATTGCAATTATCATCAACATAATTATTGTTGATTTCATCATAAATATCAAAACCCTCGATCGACTCACTCCTCGCCCCCAAATTCCCAACGATGCAATTGATCTCCTCATCCAGAATAATCGACTCGCCGTCGAAATCCTCCCGTCCGTCGTCTCCAATCTGCCCGGAAACATCCGATTCGATCTCCCCTGGGCTCCGGCAAGATTTCCGGTATGTTCCCAACCTGCCCCGCAGCTTCTCATTAAAAACGGGCTTTTCAGTGTACTGCAGTAGAAAGCCCGACGTGTCATCGGGCTGAAATGTGATGTTTTTTGTGTGAAATGTTTTTTTGAGCTTGGTGGGGAACAATTTGGGGTAGGCCATGGAGAGAATGGCGGCAGCCTCGTTATAGGTCTGGTTAAGCCGTTTTCTGGGTGTGCGGTGTTTTTGGGTAGAGATTGCTAACGGGCAGTTGCTGGATTCGGACAGGGTTGAGGATGAATTTGATATCCAAGAGGTTGAAGATGGTGACTTGATCATGTCAAACTCGAGCAATTCGAGTTTGTATGCAGCTGCCCTGCCACTGCTTAGACAAGAAGTGGACATTGTTTTTGTTGTGCAGAGGAAGATTTCAGGTAAAAAAAGATGAGTCCATTTTTGTGATTTGAATATCGAGAAAATGGGATTTACTTTTGTATGTATTTTGGAGAAAATATCAGGATTTGATTGAAGAGGTTGAAGGAAACTGTGAAAGGTTTTAGTCAAGGAACTTATACACACTGATTAAGGATTTCTGTTTTGGGTGTTCGTGGAGATTTGTGAGTAATATAGAAAGGAGGAAAAGAATTGGGAGGAAAGAGAAAAGACTAAAAGCCAAAAACTGCATCAATGTTTTTATTTTTAAAACAAGAGAAAGCTTGCAGAAGTCAATTTGAGGGGGAAAAAATGAGAAATGAAAAGAAACAAATGAGGGTGGATTATAAAACTGGAAAGAAAATGAGATTCGTACACTAAAAAATGGGAGCAGCAGGATGATTAGAAAGGAAACTACCTTGAAGTTTTCAAAACATGAAACAAAGTATCTTTCTTGCATGAAAGTAATATCTAAGGCACCCCCGAATGGTAAATAATCATAAATCCAGGGAGCCAATTTTTTTTTTCCTTTCCTTGTTTTTATTTCAATAAGTGAGTGGAGTCAAAGAGGCAGAGAAGTGATTTTTAGGATGAAATAGCTAAGTTAAGAGCTTGGAAGGTCAGAATAAGGGAAATTTTCAGAACTCCAATTTCTCTGTATTTTTATCTTTAGTAAGAAAATGGAGGGGCGAAAGCGAGAGACAAAGCCTGTTGGGAACAGTGTGTCACGGGTAGGTCAGATAAAAGGGTCAGGATTTGCTATGAACTCGCACAGTTTNGGAAGGAGACAAGTTTTAGCTTATGCAAGTTTTCGGGTGAATGGGACCACCTTCTACCTGTGTTTTGCACATTTAGCCGTACAAATGAAGTGCTATTTACCAAAAGGCCCCCTACCCTGCTAGCTTTTTAGTTTTGTCTTGATTTTTAATGAGCTTTGGCTGCAGAATTGGGTTTTTAGATGTGTTTGACAAGCATAAGGCAGTGTTACATAAGCCTAAGCCGACATACTATTTTTTACAAATATATATATGTTATAGTAGAAATTGTCATACTTTAAAAAACACTAACATATGTATGACATTTTGACAGTATAATAGATATTTATGTTCATATAATATGACGAGTTCACTCGCCTAATAGTTAGGCTGTATGACAAAAAAAATTATGGTTTGATATAGGGACATATTCAGAAATTAAGCGTAGACTGAGCTAAAATTTTAAACTCATTTTCGTAAAAATTACATAATATTTTTTCTTCAAATATTCGTTGAAGTTGTGCTCGATGAACTTCTACAAAATAAATTCATTATGCTCATTTGCATCATATTTGATGTGCTTTCACTAGTTTGACGTCGATCCCGTTTTCTAAAGAACGATGATATCAATGGGGTGTTTCTTTTCTTGGCCAAAGGTTGATGCTCCATGTGAATTTCTAAAAATCCCACAATACAAATAAATAGATTTTTTCATATGACATAGTTATTAGCACAATGAAACACATCATAAATTTATATTAACTATGATATACAACAACCACACTCGAGGATAAGAGATTAAAAAAACATACACACGGAATTACTACTTCATACACAATCAACAAAATAAGAATTGCAACAAAATAATCCTAACAATTACTATTAAAACCCTAAATAGCTCAACTAAAATGAGAAAATATATAAAGACAATTAGACAATGAAACAAATATCTAATAAGGGGTTTAAAAATATGACTTACTATTAAAGAAGAAATTAAATCGTCTTCTTGAAGATAGTCTCTTTCTCGTTGAATAGTTTATTATTATATTTTATTTTTTTTTTTTGTTCTTCTAAATTCTTGTTATGGTGTTCAGAGGGGCATGACCATGACTAATTTATTTGATTGGAGTTTGGTGTATAGAAGTGTTTTGTGGGTTAGTGCCTAGTGGAAAGGGTGGATCAACAATATATAATATTTTATTAGAATGGTATTAGTAGTGGGAATTGCCTCCACTAACCCTTTCTACATCACATTTTGTTTAAATAACCCTTGACCCAAATTTTACAATAAAATTTAATAACTAATCATATTAAATTATAATTTACTTATATACCCTCTTCTATATTATATTCCTATTCTTCCCCTTTTCTTCTTCTATTCTTACTTCATTTTTTTTCTTCCCTCCCGATCGCTCGCAGCTCTCTCTCTCTTCTTCATCGCGCCTGCTCGCATCTCGACCTGCTCTCTCGGAAATCTCCTTCTCGCTCTCGCCCTCTTTCGCGCACGATTACTATGGAACTCTCTCTTGTCAACTTGGGTATGTGAAAAAATTTTCTTCTTTCTACTTTCCTTTGAGTTTTCTTCTTTCTTCTTTCCTTTGATTGTGTTATGTGAATTCATGTAATTTTGCTAATTTTGATGGAATTGAAGATGATAATTGGTGCAGTCTATGTGTTTGATTAAATATGCTTGTAGGATTGAGTTAATGAAATGAAGATAGTAATTGGTTGCACTTTATGTGTTTGATAAAATGTTTGTAAGGTGAACTCTATGTATTTGATTAAATGATTGTAGGATTGAGTTGATCAACTGAAAAAAACGAGACTTCTATATTTGCAATGTAATATATAACGAATGTACATTTGTTATAGGAATTGTGGAAACGACTATATTATTGTAAATGAAAGAGAAGGCTTGGGTGGTATATTTCGTGCCATGTGAAGACCTTACATGTTGAGCCATGTTATGTGTGCAATCTTGCTGTATATTTTTAGGCTAAGTTTTAGTTTTAGCGGACTTAACCTATTAGATAAAGTTTGAGAAATATTGGCCTAAGATAAGAAAAGAAAATGAATTGGTTTTTGCCTTGACTCTATGTTGTGTTAAGGCTTTGTTGTGGCTTTTAGAACCTACTATCCAAAATGTTCCTTTACCTCAAATCGTCTTTGTTTAAAAAAAGGGTAAATTGGCATGCTTCCTATTGTTTTGTTCGCAATGTATACATGTATGGTGTATCTCTTGAATTGATGTAAGTTAAGGATTTTAGCATTGTGTCATAGGTTATTCTTCTAAGTTTCAATTTGTAAGAGAGGTGCATGTTGAGTAGTATTTGACCTTGTTAGAATGAAATATTTCAAGGTTGTTACATGTATGAGTTTTGATAAGCCAATATTTAGTCAAGCTTCAGTTTAATAGCATGCTTTAAGGTTGTTAAGTTCAAAGAATAAAATAAGCTCGATATAGAATAAAGAATCGTTTTATTAGTATCCTTTAGAAATGAGTTAACTTATAACTTTAACGAGTAAAATATCGTCATAATGTATTATATTGTGAATGTATAGGTGTATTTAATTGACCGAGATAAAAATATACCTAAAATGAAGATTCATTTGTTATGGTGTATGAAATAACGAATGTACATTCTTATGTATTAAATTAAAACCAATAACAAGAGTACTTTACAACAATTGTTATAGTAATTTTGGAAACGACATTATATACCTAATTTAAGCTCCTTGTTTGATCTATTTAAGTTTAGTGTTAGTACTTATTGCTTGTTTTGATCTATTATGACTTATGTTGTCTTTCTTTTCTGTTTTTAGGAACCAAAAGGGAATATGCGTTTGATATACCTTCCAAATGCAACGCAGTCATGACCAATCGGTGCAAACTCAAAGTTGTCAGTGAAGTATTTGACAACCTAGACAAAGCACATAAATTTCGACACTTGTCGCGCCCGCGACATCCTGGGAATGGCTCTGTCATTGTGTCGCGCCCGTGACGGTCTGGAACGACAGTTTTTTTTTAAAAAAACGTGCTCTCATTACCAGTGTCGCGACAGCGACGGTTGACGCGCCAGCGACAAACGTTTGATTTCAAAAACAAAAAAAACCAAGTATTGTTATTTCAAAAAAGAGTTTCGTTGTTAGTGTTTCGACACTCTAAAGACTTCAAACTATCATTCCGATGACATGTAACATTAATATACATGCGTTATCAAGTAATTCGATCGAAAAAACCATAAAAAAAACGCGTTTGTGTCGAAAAACAACCATAACGAAAGCACATTCGTTATGGTTGTTTTTCGACTAAATCCACCTTAAACGACCGTGAATTCATCATATAATACATTATAAAGAAATTAAACTCGTTATAGGTCTAATTTTGGTCATTGTTAAGTTAAAATAACGAATTTACAAAGATATTACATGATCTTTCCTTTTTTCAAAAACAAAAAAAACCAAGTATTGTTATTTCAAAAAAGAGTTTCGTTGTGAGTGTTTCGACACTCTAAAAACTTCAAACTATCATTCCGACGACATGTAACATTAATATACATGCGTTATCAAGTAATTCGATCGAAAAAACCATAAAGAAAGTGCGTTTGTGTTGAAAAGCAACCATAACGAATTTGCATTCGTTATAACGAATGCACATTCGTTATGGTTGTTTTTCGACCAAATCCACCTTAAACGACCGTGCATTCGTCATATAATACATTATAAAGATATTAAACTCGTTCTAGGTCTAATTTTGGTCATTGTTAAGTTAAAATAACGAATTTACAAAGATATTACATGACCTTTCTATTTTTCAAAAACAAAAAAAAACCAAGTATTGTTATTTCAAAAAAAAAAAGTTTCGTTGTGAGTGTTTGGACACTCTAAAAACTTCAAACTATCATTCTGACGACATGTAACATTAATATACATGCGTTATCAAGTAACTCGATCGAAAAAACTATAAAGAAAGTGCGTGAGTGTCGAAAAGCAACCATAACGAATTTGCATTTGTTATAACGAATGCACATTCGTTATGGTTGTTTTTCGACCAAATCCACCTTAAACGACCGTGCATTCGTCATATAATACATTATAAAGATATTAAACTCGTTCTAGGTCTAATTTTGGTCATTGTTAAGTTAAAATAACGAATTTACAAAGATATTACATGACCTTTCTATTTTTCAAAAACAAAAAAAAACCAAGTATTGTTATTTCAAAAAAGAGTTTCGTTGTGAGTGTTTCGACACTCTAAAAACTTCAAACTATCATTCCGACGACATGTAACATTAATATACATGCGTTATCAAGTAATTCGATCGAAAAAACCATAAAGCAAGTGCGTTTGTGTCTAAAAGCAACCATAACGAATTTGCATTCGTTATAACGAATGCAAATTCGTTATGGTTGTTTTTCGACCAAATCCACCTTAAACGACCGTGCATTCGTCATATAATACATTATAAAGATATTAAACTCGTTCTAGGTCTAATTTTGGTCATTGTTAAGTTAAAATAACGAATTTACAAAGATATTACATGACCTTTCTATTTTTCAAAAACAAAAAAAAACCAAGTATTGTTATTTCAAAAAAAAAAGTTTCGTTGTGAGTGTTTGGACACTCTAAAAACTTCAAACTATCATTCCGACGACATGTAACATTAATATACATGCGTTATCAAGTAATTCGATCGAAAAAACAATAAAGAAAGTGCGTTTGTGTCGAAAAGCAACCATAACGAATTTGCATTTGTTATAACGAATGCACATTCGTTATGGTTGTTTTTCGACCAAATCCACCTTAAACGACCGTGCATTCGTCATATAATACATTATAAAGATATTAAACTCGTTCTAGGTCTAATTTTGGTCATTGTTAAGTTAAAATAACGAATTTACAAAGATATTACATGACCTTTCTATTTTTCAAAAAAAAAAAAAAAAACCAAGTATTGTTATTTCAAAAAAGAATTTTGTTGTGAGTGTTCCGATACTCTAAAAACTTTAAACTATCATTCCGACGACATGTAACATTAATATACATGCGTTATCTAAAATAACGAATGTATAATGATTCTTCATTATCTATTCATTTCCAAAAACAACCAAGCATAGTTATTTCACAAAATGAGTTTCGTTATATGTATTTCGACCTAAAACTTGTTATATAATCCATTATAAGAATATTACACTCTTTGTAGGTACAATTTTAGTCATTACGTAAAATACGGAATGTACAAAGATTTTACATGATCTATCCATTTTTAAAAAACAAAAAAACAATTAAATATAACTATTTCACAAAAAGAGTTTCGTTATGAGTATTTCCACGCTCTAACGGGTCCAAACTATCGTTCAAAGGTGATATATGACCAAGATACAATGTTTAAAACGTCATTCCATAAAAAAACCAAAATGAGAGCACTTTCGTTACGGTTTTCACCATACATTCGTTATAACGAACGAATGTACATTCGCTATTGTTCTTTTTCGATCTAAAACACCTAAAACTCGTTATATACTCCATTATAAAGATATTACACTCGTTGTAGGTACAATTTTAGTCATTTTTCATGTCAAATAAGAAATGTACAAAGTTTTTACATGATCTATCCATTTTTCAAAAACAAAAAAACAAAGAAGTATAGTTTTTCACAAAAAGAGTTTCGTTGTGAGTATTTCCACGCTCTAACGGGTCCAAACTATCGTTCAAAGGTGATCTATGACCAACATACAATGTTTAACACGTTATCCCATAAAAAAAACCAAAACGAGAACACTTTCGTTACGATTTTCACCATAACGAATGTACATTCATTATTGTTCTTTTTTGATCAAAAACATCTAAAACTTGTTATATACTCCATGATAAAGATATTACACTCGTTGTAGGTACAATTTTAGTCATTTTTCATGTAAAATAAGAAATGTATAAAGATTTTACATGATCTATCTATTTTTCCAAAACAAAAAAACCAACAAGTATAGTTATTTCCCAAAAAGAGTTTTGTTATGAGTATTTCCACGCTCTAACGGGTCCAAACTATCGTTAAAAGGTGATATATGACCAAGATATAATGTTTAACACGTTATTCCATAAAAAAAACTAAAATGAGAGCACTTTCGTTACGATTTTCACCATAACGAATGTACATTCGTTATGAAACTGCATAACGACTGTACATTCGTTATGTATCCATCATCTAGAAAAATGAAAAAAAAAAAAAATACTTCAATGGCACAAGCAACAACATAAATATGAAGAGAAACACGAATGCACACGTACGCCTATGTACATAAAAGAGCGCAAAATTTCTCCACAAACACCCCCAAATTTCTCGGGGAAAATAAAAGAAATACAATGCGGTGGATCAAGACAGAGCCTAGCTATTACTTGAAGAATCCCACTGTGTCCCCGCAATCTTTTTTGTTTTTAAATGAAAATTATGGAAAATTTTGCTCGAAGGAAAGTACACCTAATATCTATTGAAAATTCTACTTTTCGGGGTCAAAATATATAAATTAGGGCAAGAGAACAAATGTCGAGCGGGAGCGGGAGCGAGAGAGACAGAGCAGAAGAAGAGATCAATTTTTTTTTTTTTATAAACACAAAATAGGAGAAGGTTATTTTAGGTATTTCAATTATATATTTACTTTTATTTAATGAATAGGTTATTTGGACAAAAAAAAATTTCAAAGGGTCATTTAAATAAATATAGGGTTTGACCGTCCCTCTTAAATAAACAACCCGGTATTAGTAGTCTTTGGACTTAATAGATAAGTGAATTGTTTAGTGGTTAGTAGGATGGTTTATTGGGGTGCTAGCCTAGGTCTAAGGTAGATCCGTCCATGGTTTGATAATTATCATAAATAGTTCAATTTATAAGATTTTTTGTTTAGGTGGTATGATTGACTTTTTATAAGTTTGAACTTATCTCACAAACTTATTTAGATAGTGTTTTTCATGAAGTCTTAATATTTTAATGCAGCTAACATCAACTAATTTACTGAATACTTTTATTATGATGGGTATATTTGGTAAGCACCATATTTGGTTAACTTATAAATTTCTTATATCCAAACAAGTTTGGTAGGTAATATGAGCTTTTTAAAAATGTTGGAGTTTATCTAGTTAGCTTCTTGACGTAGGGAAAATGTATTGACAATCAAGGATTGAGAGCGAAATCCCACTTTTCTTATTCAATCAAAACCAACCACCTTAAAGACAATGAAATAGAAGTCTTAAATACCTCTTTTAAAAGAGTCCTACTAACATAAACTTACTAACTAAATAAAAGAATAAAATACTTACATAACAATAAAAATAAAAGTAATAAATAATTATACTAATGATGTCAAACGATCATGCTTATCTAGAAAAGACAATGAAATCTCGTCTTCATCATTCCTCTCATGAAAAATATTTGCCCTCAAATCTTAAGTAATCTCGTCTCCATCAGACTTTCACTATGGAAAGACACCAAGTGTTTGATATTAAACACGTCCGATGGGCGAATATGGGTTGACAAACGAATGCGGTTGGAATTAGGATTAATATTCTCAACAATCTCGACCATGCCGATTTTACGTGCCGACATCTTATTATACTCGTGAGCAGAGAACCTATCCTTCGTCAAAATAAACCAAACAAAATCTCCCACCACAAACTCGACATGGCGACGAACATCAGTATGTCGCTTGTATAATGCATTAGCAACCTCCAAATTCGCACGTGTGGCTTCATGTGTATGTCGCAAAGCAGCAATGAAAACTTCTACCTGGCTATCGGCACGGTCCGTGGAAGACAAGGCGACAAGGTCAGCGGGGCCGCAAGGCTGAACTGCATACACCACCTAAAAAATGGAAAAACAAGTGCTCCGACTAATAGCAGAATTATGGGCAAACTCATCTTGACTAAGCTTGTTATCCCAAGGGCACACAAGTTCTCCACGACCAAACAACGTAATAGATTGTCGAACGAACGATTGACAACCTTGGTTTGACCAGTCTTCTGCGGATAATAAGAACTACTAAAGTCCAGTCGAGTATTACCTTGGTGCCACAGACTACGCCAAAAAAAAAAGCATCATGGTCAGACACAATGGAAGATGCCAAACCATACAGACGATGGACCTCGCGAAAAAAAAAAATTGCGCCACATGAACATCGGTCGTACACTTGCACGGAATAAAACGCACCATCTTGGAGAAACGATGTTGATAATATGCGTAGTATAGTTATAGCTGCTCTAACACAAATGACGTAGTACAATATTATACTGTGTTGATAATATTTATATCTGCTCTTACACAAATGGCGCAGTACAGTATTATACGGTGTGTGTTGATAATATTTAGGGGGTTGTGTTCAATTGAGATTCTTAAGAACTTTTTAAAACTTTTTAAATTTGATGACTTTCGTGGACTTTGTAAAACTTTCATAACTTTGGTAGACTTTTTGAGACTTTCAGAGAATTCTCATTAGTGACTTTTTAAGACTTTCATAATGGACTTTTTAAAACTTATTGAGACTTTTAAATATTTATAGTTATAATATTATGTTTGAATGAAACATTAATAAACGTAACATAATAACTAATACTAAGAAGAATAAATTAAAAAAAATGTTTTATATATTAATCCTCTAAAAATTTATGAATCAACTCATTCTTATGCGAAATCAGTTATTCACTAACAAATTGTTTAGGATTTTAGATTTATTAAACGGGCAAATCAATCCGAGTTTCAACGAGTCGAACTATGGAAGATACAAACATTGGTGAAAAACAATAATTGTATTTCAGAAAGTTATCAATAATATTCAAAATAATTCAATATCAACAAATAAACTATAAGAAAATAAAATAATTTTATTAATATTTAGAAATAAACATTGACAAATAAAAAGAGAGAACAAATAAATTATTTGCAAGTGCAAACTATGGAAGCATTTAACCTTTGAATAATCAAATTCACAAGATAACAAAATGAAAGAATAAAGGTATACATACATAAAATAATCATACTAAAAAATATATAAAATAAATATCACGTTAAATATACGTAATGAAAATAAAAATTATACAAGGTATCAAAATAAATGCGTAAAATAATAGAGCATGAAAGTGATATGAGATACAAAGTCGTGTTAGAAAGAAAAAAGAAAGAGAGCGTGAAGAGAGTCACATAAGTCCACCAAAATCTCACCGATATTGATGAGATTTCTGTTGGGACTTTCTCTTTGTAATTTTGTTAGAAAAGTTTCTAAAAGTCTCACAATTTAAAAAGTCTCATAGAGTCTTCTTATTTTGAATACAGGATGACTTATAGAGACTCTCATAAAGTTCTAATTCAATACCTTGAGACTTTTAAAGACTTTTTAAAAGTCTTAATTCAATACATGTTAACTTTTCAGAAGTCTCTAAAAGTTCTGATTGAATACACCAGAATTCTAAAAGTTATAAAAAGTATCTACAACAACAACAACACTATATAGTCTTTAGTCCCAAGCAGGTCGGTGTAGGCTAGAGATGAAACCCAAGAGAACCATCGGTAAAAGAAACACAAAAACACAAAAAGGGGTTGAAACAAAAGGAAGAGATTGGAGCAAAAGAGAAAGGAACAAAAGTCACGGTTCTGACACGTTGATTACTAGCCTCCAAGCGCTCCTATCCACCGCTAAATCCTTGGAGATATTCCAATCTTTAAGGTCTCTCTTTACCGACTCTTTCCAAGTGAGTTTAGGCCGACCTCTACCTCTCTTTACATCCTCGAACCGTTGTAGAACTCCCCTACGCACCGGTGCATCAGGAGGCCTCCGTTGGACATGTCTGAACCACCTTATAAAAAGTCTCTAAAAGTTGAAATTGAATACACTCGTCTTATAGTTGCTCTTACACAAATGGCACGGTACAGTATTATACGGTGTTGATAATATGTGTAGTCCAATTATAACTGCTCTTACACAAATGGCAGTGTTGATAATATGCGTAGTAGTTATAACTTATAATTGCTCTTACACAAATGCTCTTACAAAAATAATGGCGACAACACCTGCTCTTACAAAAATAATGGCATTGATTAAATTATAATTGGTTGGTATTTATTTGTACAAAAAACATATTAATTTATATAGAAAATAAAAGAAAAAAAATTGATACATTTCTAAAATTATATTATAAATATGATGGTATATATTTTGTCAAAAAAATTATAAANCATTTAGAAATACACCATCAGAGAGTTATTTATGAAACATGAAACTCCATTCAATCCACGTGGACAGAAAGTCATCAATTTAGAGTACTTCCATTTTCACCATTGGAGATGCTCTAAGGGGTTTGATGGTTAAGTCGACCTTAGAGGGCAACCAATATTTGCATTTGATCCATAACTGTAGTTATTTAAATTACCATACATAGAAAACAATTAGTTAGGCATAGTTTTTCGGGTACATCTGATTGGTAACTCCATACGTATTCTTACAAAAACTACATGTGTAAGTTCACGCACTCAGCAATGCAAGTACGTCTATTTAGAAGAGAAAAATATGAAGAATGCACTGGAATGAAACACGTAAATCTTTCTTCGAGTAATCCAAAGCAGTCACGCTAGAAAAAATTACATGTTCTGGAAAGGAAAATCAAATAGTTTGGTTGTTGTGTTCAAACAATCTCATTCCAAAGCCGAACACAAGAGGAAGGAAACATGACTTGCAGCCCCAAAGAGGAAGGCCGAAAAATAAATTCCGCAAAACTTTCAGTTATTGTGCATTTATTCTAACTCCCTTGAATCTCAGGGGGTCTCGTCAAAAAACTCAGTCATATCAACCAAATGCAAAACATAATCATACCATTTTTCAGCTGGAGCATAATATCAGACATCCAAGAGCAACCTACGAGGATCTTCCACCACGTCCTTGATCCTTCTCAAGAAGAACACAGCCTCTCTGCCGTCAATCAGCCGATGGTCGTAAGTCAAAGCAATGTACATCATGGGTCTCGCAACTATGTTACCACCAACCACCATTGGCCGGTTCACGATTGAGTGCATTCCTAGTATAGCGGACTACAGTATAGCAAAACAAATCAAGAATTAAATAATGATTCACGAGTATAAACGCATATCACTCCCTTTATATAAATGCAAAGTTTCCCGAGTCCATGTGTCGCTTTTTGGTGTTTCATAATCCTATGTGTCAAATTATGTTGGTTCAGAGTAATCCATGTATATTTGGGCTTTCATCCTCCATGTCTATTAGGACTTTTAAAATTATATAACACTTCGATCAACTTAAATCGTAAATATATTTTAAAGTTTAGTAACTTCTTTATTTGTTTTTAGGTTTTTTATATAATATATAAAATTAATCGTCTTTTGATGATCTTCCATTCGACATCCATATTACATATAAAAAAAAAAATATATCAATTTTTGTAAATATAAATCAAATAATGTAGTAATTCAAGTTTTTAAAAAGTATTAAAATTTATAAATTGTTTAATTAACACCCTTGTCATACATGGGTGTTGTACCACTACAAGCATGGATTATATATATAAGAAAAAAAAATGCTAGGGGGAATGAAGGAACCTGGGGAGGATTGATGATTGGAGTACTCAAAAGACTTCCATAAACACCACCATTAGATATGGTAAATGTTCCCCCAGCCATCTCATCAATGGAGATAGTGCCATCATTGGCCTTCTTAGCAAGGGTGTTGATCTCCTTCTCAACCTCGGCAAAATTCATCCTCTCAGCATTACGGAGAACCGGAACAACAAGACCCTGATAGAAAATACAAAGCTTGTTCAGAAAAAAGGAACGAGAATCATATAAAGATGGACACTGGATTAAAAAGGAAAAAATAGAAAATCCATGCTGCAATGGGCAAAAAATAATATTATGCTTGTGCATACATGAAAAGAAATATAATTTCATCATAGGTAACACAAAATATACATGCAACATAAGTTAATCAATTAATCTAGACTCAAATTCACAACTTGAAAATGCTCTGTGAAAGATATGATTGATATGAACAATATCTTGGGTATCCTACACTCAAATTTCAGCAACACTCTTAGAAGGTATATAGTGGACAACTTGCCTTAGGGGTACCAACAGCGATGCTAATGTCTACGTAGTCCCTGTAAATTATGTCATCGCCATCAATAACAGCATTCACTATTGGCTGCTTCTGTAGAGCACTAATGGCTGCCTGAAAATCAGAGAACACACGTTCAGTTAACAAGATGCATACATGGAATAAAAGTGGAAAATTTGGTGTGCGGGCATACCTTCACGAATCCAGACATCAGTCCCAGTTTCACTCCATGCTTTTCAAAAAATGTGTCCTTGTAATCAGAGCGAAGTTTCATTAAATTAGTCCTGCAACAAGAAATTGCAGCTGTTAAGGTTCTCACTGTCACACATAAAGAATGAAAGTACTTCCAAGTCTCTAATATTCAACAACACTCTAATGTGAAACAGAAATGATAACCATACACCTGGAACAAATAAACAATGTCCAAGTAATCAAACTAAGCTACAGTCCTGGAAAACAACCTAATAACATCTAACACTTGATACTCTAGAAAATTATAGAGAAACAGAAAAGAAGCATCTTTAGGGACCGTTGGCAACAGCAGCCTCAATGACTTCAGAAAAATATTTATGTTTAAGTTTTATGGCAGAAATATATTAACCATTACTTGACATGGCACAGATACATCACCCCCTTCATACAGGAATTAACTTATACGTCAACTTCGTGTCTTCATTAAATGTTTTCAAGTTACGATACTACAAACGTACGCGTTAACTTCATGAAATGTTGTCAACTTAATAATAATAATAAAAAAAAAAAACTATATACAGGAATAAACTTACATGTCAACTTCATTAAATGTTGTCAGCAATGCAAATGTGTTCTGAGAATCCTTCAAGCGTGTGGCAACCCTTTTCCTAAGCCTTGTCATAGGCACCTGTCAATGGAAGCAGATCCTCATTTTACAAGCACACCATCGATAATGACAATTCAAGGGTCACTACCTAAAAGCTCAGACTCACTCGTCTTTCCCTTTCTTTAGGAGGCAGCTGGGGTTCTGTGGCTGAGGTTTTTGGAGAAGGGGGAGGGGTCCCTTTAGGTTTCTCTACGACGGGGATTGCATCGACTTTAGGCACTGGTTTCTCCTTTTTCTCTTCAGTGGAAGAAGGTGGTTGAGGAGCTTTTCCAGATGGTTTTTCATCAGAAGGTGCAACGTGTGTTGCACCTTCACCAGATCTTGATATGATAGCAACCTTGGTACCAGGCTCTACAGTGTCTCCTTCATTAGCTATAAACTATGAATTTTCAAACGAAAACAAAAAAAATGTTAGCCCAATAAGTGATTATAAAATGAATGCACGAGTAACATGACCACTAGTCTGATTTCTGAAATTGTACCTTTTGGATGACTCCAGCTTCAGGACTATTGACATCAATGGTGACCTGGGACAACAAACAACCCAAAACTCAGCTGTTAATCAAGTAAATTGAGAGAGAGCTCTGATATTGAATACTACTACTAATAGCAGTCACTTTGTTCTCAAGAGGATGAAAAGTTGTTCTCAAGAATCACATACCTATTTCCACACATTAATTGCAGAGAAAAGATAACTATTGATTATTCACATAGAAGAAAAAAGTGATAACCCATCTTTTTGGTATATCTTTTATTAAAATCAAGTACCTTATCTGTTTCAACCTGAGCAATCGGCTCATCAACTGCTACTCTATCCCCAGGTTCTGCACAAGCCAAGCAGTAATAAAGAGTAGGAACGGAACCTTTAGATTATGATTACTGAAGAGATGAAGGAGGTGATAATAGAGAAAAACATACTTTTCAGGAATGTAGCCAACGTGCCATCAGTTATAGATTCACCCATAAAAGGGACAACAGCTTCAACAATATCACCTGTCATGCATCAGTAGTGGGAGAAATGTCACAAGAAAAGACCACATATTATAGGGTGTCGTAAAGCCCAAAAACAAAACAGAAAACTATTTGCAGCAAACAATATATTGTTCGTAGATTTACACATGCACCATTGACCAAGCAGAAAAGTCACCTAAAACCCGTGAACATGAAATTTCGGTTAGATACTTTAAATGTTTATACCAACCCAGATAACTTTTTAAGGGACTAACAAACCACATAGTATCTCCTCTAGTGTATGCAAAGGAAAGAAAAAAGGTAGATAAGGAATTCCCAAACTATATTAGACAGAGGGGTCATGGATCTAACTCTTTTGCATATAGAAGATCAATCTCATTTATCCTATCTAACGAATGTAACAAGTTTAATTTGCTCGGGCTTGCAGCTGTGGAGACCCAAATTGCAATTGTAAAAAGAACAACGATATAAACTTCAGTCTATCCACCAAATATTATTATTATCATACCAGAATCAGAACTGAATGGCCTGCTCCAAATTTGCAAGTTTACATCTTGTTGAACAGGGTGTACAAACTTCCTGCAAATATTACAAAAGATGCAGGTTGATAAATTTTCCTAACAAGTCGGCACAAAATGTTCCCCCCAAAGCCATCTAATAAGAAGTCATGTAGTTTTAATTTTGTGTTTATTTCTTCTGACTGTCAGCCAAAAAGCAGATACAATAAGTAAATCCGGATTTATCGTTTTGTTTAATATAAAATAAAAAGTACAAGAGGAAGACAATGCAGCCCCTGGCATCCTTCACAATGTGATCACTAACTTGGGTATGTCTAACTATATATAGTTTAGTAACCCTTCGCACTGAACCATATATGTGCATAGATATGCCAATAAATTCCAACATCCAATTATTGCCATCACAGGCCAATAAAAGAAACAGAATTGAAACAATCAGTAAGGCAAAGTTTAGATTTAGCAATACTCTAGCTGTCCCAGCTCTCAAATCACTCAAACAAATCATCATTTGAAAACATAAAGACGAAGAACGGCTTAGTGAGTCATACGGTAAGTACCCATAAATGGTTTTATAAACATATTGACAGTTCATCACTAACCTCTTTGGCATCAGAGACATTGTTCGTCCTGTGAGAAAGTAAAAGATAATGCCATATAATCAATAATGTAAACAAGGAAGCTCAGTCTATATAATAATAAATCAAGTATTCATACCAGTCATGGCAGAAAAAGACCGAGCATTGCCAAGACCCCTTGTGATTGTTCGTCCTGTGAGAAAGTAAAAGATAATGCCATATAATCAATAATGTAAACAAGGAAGCTCAGTCTATATAATAATAAATCAAGTATTCATACCAGTCATGGCAGAAAACGACCGAGCATTGCCAAGACCCCTTGTGAAAGGTATGATCTGCACATAATCCCAAATGATAAGTCAAAAATACATGAAGAAATACAATAGTAACTTCATGATTGATTTCCAAACTACATTTAACTATACAGCTCTCACACAGTACAATCAAATGCCTCACTCAAATACAAAAGCATTACAATCAAGTATCCTATTTATGACCGGAAAATAGAAACAAAAAGTTAATTCAAACAAACAAGAAAATAAGAGGTACACATAGATTTCTCTTAGATGCCAGCTGAAATCTACAACAAAAAGTTTAAAAGTCTACTATACCTCTTCTGCAGCAGCTGAGCATGTCCGTGGCGTAGATACTGTTGGTTTGAGTTTAGACAACGATTTCTTGTAAACCTAATTGACAGCAGAACCATAACTGAGTCTCGATGCACATGTGACATAAAGTTTGCACTACATGCCATTACACACACAACATGTTACAGAAGTGGAACAAAAAAAGAACAGAGGAAACAACCGTTGCAGACGAGGCGCTTGCAGCCGCTTTCCGCCTTAGAACACCCAACATCACGCCGTTGAATTTTTTATCCCTGCAAAACAGACAAATAAGCGAAGGAATAAGTTACAAACAAGCAATCTTTCTTAACACTGAAAATGATGGAATGAAATTAAACGAACAACGGGGCGCGTCACTTGGGCAGATCTCAGAAGAAAAATATTACAGTAAATGCAAAAGGAAAGGCGGGATCGAGAAGATGGAGAACCTAATCTGACCTGTGACTGAATTGTAGGGTTCGGAGAAGAAAAGTCTGAATGGAAGGTAAATATCGAAAATTCAATTTTAAGAATATTTTGGTAAAATATTCGTCCTTTCTGAGTGGTGAGTGGTGAGTGGCGTGATTGACAGTGAAATGGAGGCTGGAGCGTGACCCTCACGATTAGGAATATGGTTTCATTGGAATTTTAGGTCATGTTCTAAAACTTTTTTAAGTATGTATTTTTTGTAAAAAAAAAATAATAAAATAAAAATTGAAGAGGTAGTCAAACAAGTTTACCTTTCGATCTCATCGACAGGTCCTTCGATTTTCGATCTCAGTGGCAGGTCATTCGGTATTCGACTTCATCGACAGGTCCTTCAGTTTTCTACCTCATCGACAGGTCACTCGGTTATTTACCTTATCAGTAGGTCCTTCGGCTTTCGACCTCAATGGCAGGTCATTCGGTATTTGATCTCATCAACAGGTTTTTCGGTTTTCGACCTCAGTGGCAGGTCATTCGGTATTCGACCTCATCGGCAGGTCCTTCGGTTTTCGACCTCATCGGCAGGTCACTTGGTTTTTTACTTTATTGGCAGGTCATTCGGTATTCGACCTCATCGACAGGTCCTTCGATTTTTGACCTCAATGGCAGGTCATTCGGTATTCAACCTCATCGACATGTCCTTCGGTTTTCTATCTCATCATCAGGTTACTCAGTTTTTTACCTTACCGGCAGGTCATTCGGCTTTCGACCTCAGTGGCAGGTCATTCGGTATACGACTTCATCGACAGGTCCTTCGGTTTTCGACCTCAGTGGCAAGTCATTTGGTATTCGACCTCATCGACAAGTTATTTTGTTTTCGACCTCAGTGGTCGTTCGATTCTCTACCTCATCGGCAAGTCCTTCGTTTTTCGATCTCAGTGGCAGGTCATTCGATTTTCGACCTCATTAACAGGTCATTCGATTTTCTACCTCATGGACAGATCATTCGGTTCTCTACCTCGTTGACATATCTCTTAGTGCTTATTCGGAGGCCATTCTGTGGTCATTTAAGTCTCTCTGTGCTCATTTGGAGGTTATTTGGTGGTCACTCAGGATATTTGGTGTCCATAAGATTCATTTGATGGTTATACATTCGGAAGTCATGCAGATCACGCGATGTTCATTTGGTGACTATTTGGTGGTCGAGAATATATTCAAATTATAACAGTGGCAGGTTGACCGAAAAAGACAGAAGACGCATTTCACTATTGATCGAGTTATACTCACTCGACCAGAGTGAGGGGGGGGGGGGNGGGGGGGGGGGGACTAGATACTTGACCAGTTTTAATGGATAAGAAGGAATATACTAAGGAATAAACTTACATATAGGCTATGACACATGTCATAATGGTATTGGCCAAACCAAACTTGGGCAATGAGATACACTTCCCCTATAAAAGGAGCCTATGGTATCTCAAAAACACATTCCCTCTACATTCATTACTATACTCTCATATTGTACTCTTTATCTCGGGCGAGTGCTGACTTAGACATCGGAGGCTCGACATCGGGACCGCTCCCAAGGTTGAGTTCTTTCAGGTACGGAGGTCGTCCGAGCAGAAGGAGCCCGGGTGATTTCACGAACACTTGTGATCTTTTGTTGACTAGGAGCAAGTTCATTTGGTGCTCTTTGTTAATCACCAGTATCAAGCTGAACCAAGCAATTATTAGTTTTTTAAAACTCTTTAATTGTTTATTGTGTAGCCCTAACTGCTATGGATAAGTTTCATGAATGGTATTGTCAAATATGTCCTTATTTCCAACTTATAAGTTTGGATAGAGTTTTCAACTGCTAACTCAGTAATCCTAACTATTTGATTGTTGTCTGAACTACTGAATTTGTAATTCAGCAGACTAGCCAGCAGTTCAAACGACTCATTTGTACTTCACAACACTTATGAAATGGGTTCGGATTAATCATCAAGTACTTCAAATAACTTGTCTTGTAATTCCAACTACTAGGGATTAGGCAAACTAGCTGTTGAAACTGAGAGAAACCACCCAAACATCCACATGCAATACGCAAATAGAAACAAACATCAAAATAAATTACCTGTTTTTTAAAATGTTTCTCCGTATTTAAGGCTGAAGATAGGGAACATAAAAAATGGTTTTTCCTTAGTAGAAAGAAGATGGAAAGAAAAAAGAACAAATTTTTTATTATTGAAGAATCGAGGGCTTTATTGAGCTTAAAAGAAATGAGACATTCACGTTTGAAATGAGAATATAAGGTATTGGAAGTTGCAAACATTTAAGACAAATTCACAAGGAACTAGTAAATGAGGTGAAATGCTATAATCAAGGTTCTGAAAACCGAACCGGTCATCGAACCTGTGAAGATAGTGGTTCAATGATTCACTGGTCGGACCAATGGTCGAACATGTTTAATTAATATATAATTTTTATTTATTTTTTATTTATAATATATAATTGTATATATTTTTATCTTTAATTTTATAATGTATAATGACATTTATCTCAATAAATTAAATCAAAAAATAAATAAAGAATCATTAATATTCTAGTTCTTTTAGCAACCACGTCTAATTTTATGTGTAGAATTATAAGTTATAACTAATATGAAATGTTTTATTTTTTCCACTTTTTGAAAAAAATAAAAATAAAAAAAAAATGATGGTAAAATTACAGGCCCAACAACGGCCTAAGCTGATGGCCAACACCATCAAAAGTAAATAAGTGGCTTAGAATGTTGGTTTCGGGCTTTCTAACAAGTTATTTCCTTTATTTATTCTTGCATGAAAGGCTCAATAACGGCCCAAATTTCAGTTAGCCTTTATTTGTGAACTTGTCTCACATGGGAAACACTAAGAAAATCATTTAGCCATTTAAGTGCTTTCACACCCACTTCCTTGCAAAGTTAGCAACAGAACCGCTCAGCTCTCTAAACTGGTACCGGTTTTCAAGTTTTGAACAATTTTACCCGGTTCTTACGGTTTGGGTCCAGTTTTGGACCCCAACGATTCCATACCTCAAACCGGACCGGTGTATTGGCCGGTTCCTGGTTGAACCGGTCAAACCGGCCGGTCCGGTCAGATTTTGATAACCTTGGCTGATGTATATCACTGTTGATTTGCGCTTAGAGCAAAAATAGAATTGAATAGTGTAGTCGTTTTGTAACTGATAGTTTGCACTTAGTGTTTTATTGTTTTGACAGAGAATTGGAACCTTATTGGAGCTTCTAATTTATAAATCTTGTTGTTGAGAAATGGGGATTTTATAAATGGATTTGATATACAACTATTTGAGCCGTTTCTAAAGTTCTTCTACTTCACTTCCATGCCATGTTCCTATTGGCCATTTCCTACTTCATTGAGGTGCAATTTATATCTTTCTTCTCAGGTACAGCTACTTGAATGATTTACCTTCATTGGATCCAGAATTGTATCAGCATCTAATCTTTTTAAAGGTGAATCGTGCTATATATTTTTAGCTTTCATGTAATTTTATTTCTTTTTGTGCCGGTATAGCCATTTTTCTCTTAACATTTAATCAATTTTCCAATAATGTTTAGTCACTAGAATTTGATTTAATTGAACTAGATATGCCTCTTGTTTTCTCATAAATTAAATAAGTATTCAAATTGATATTTGTGTTTTATTTTACGGCTTTCTCTGCAGTGATATTACCATGGATAGTTTCTGACGGCCAGATCCTGATTATACTCTCGTCAGGGAAAATATTGGTTGGATAAAAAATCTTGTTCGTCTCCATCTGTGAGCTTCTTTAATAAGAAAAAGTCAGGGATACAAAGTGTGAACTGATACGAGTTTTGTGTTGTTGTGCGAAAATGAGGGTCTAGTCGGGCCAATGAAGGAGTGCAATTTATTTTAAAGACGCTCGCCCTTGATAGACCCTACTCCCGACTCATTTGTCTTTTTTTTTTTTCCTTTCTATACAATGAATCCTTTAGAACTCGTTGTATGTTGATTCGGCAATAGAATGTGTTTGGATTGAAGAATAATAAACAAAAATTGTAAAACCTTTTTCGTTTATTTGCTCTCTCGTCCGATTGAACAAGTTTAAAGAAATTTAATGAATTTGTGCCTATCGAGCCAATTATTTTATCATATGTTTCTGATGTGTTCTCTTCTGGGTAATTAGCCATTGTCCTTGACATGAAAGAGTCAAAGTGTTTCTGGCATTTGTCAATTTCTATGTTGAAGTAATTTTTCACATTGAATTATGTGTTTTGGTTTTACTTTTATAGTACTACATTTACATGAGAAGTTTCATCCTACCCTGTGGGCAGTATCCCCATGGGATTTTATGTGTAATTCGACGGCTAAAATTCCTTACGAGTGTGATCTAATGGATATAACTCTTGTGAGTGATACCCACAGGGGGTAAGATCAAATCTACCCATTTACATAACTGTTGAGGTTTAAATAACTAGAAAAATGAGCTAGAATCTTATGTAGATTGTAAAGAGAGAAATTATGGGACAATTTGACAGGAAAAAAAGAGTAATTTGTATAAGTTCATTAACCAACAATGCCATATATTATACATTTAAAACATAGTGTCCACTGTCAAGTAGCAAGACTGCAAGAGAAATATTACATTATGGCAAAAACAATGCCAAAAGTAACAAACAATGTCAAATTGCAGATAACTACATGTATACATAATTATGCATGTATATTATATCATACATTAGTAAATTTCGTTGTATGCCTTTCAGCACTGCGCAATAAAGATCGAAATCCACACTTTTTATTTTAATTTTGTCTAAGATATGCATATCTCCAAGGAAGCCTTCGCAAGCCACAACAAGTCAGGATCGTTTCTCTTTAACATCAAATAGGCTTCGACCTTACCCATTTCATCGGTGACAATACCCTCACAAAATCCAACCAGTTTCAGAATAACCACAACAGCTGCAAAAAAAATCACCACATAATGCAGGTATCTTCAGTAACCGCGACTTTTAATAACGTTAGTTACACAGCTCAACAACAAAACAACATAAAAATACAATAAAGTAGGGCCTAAGACATGAACTTATCTACATGAAATATGTACCTTTGTAAGCAGTAATGTTCCTCTGAATCGTTGGATTAGTCTGAACCAACATATAGCCAAAAGCAACGAATTTGGGAATTACTTTGTGATGTAGAAAATCAGAAAAACTGCATGTTGCATACCTTAATGAGTTTTATGTACTTCATTTCATAGCTGTAAGAAGTTAAAAGTGAAATCAACATTCGAACACAAGAAGAAAACAGAGAAATGAAGATAAAAGAACGAAAAAAGTTTAACAAACCTGTTGTGTAGTACTTTGCACATTTGTCCATAAACCTTGGCGTTCTCGATTTATTATTTTGAGCCTCATCGACAATCTTTGCAATTCGAGCGATCACGCAGTCTTCTGACATACCCGTGGTCTTCACAGTTATTTATCATATCCTGTAAAAGTGATCCCCAAACAATATATTAAACCTTTTCATATTCTCGCACACGAAATGGAGAACAACTAAACTAGGATAATATTTCTTGATTCTTTTTATCGTTGAAAATTATAGTGCTGGACCAAACAGTCGAGTCCTTCTGCTTAGCCACGGGAAAAGATTCACCTGTTAGGATCTTGGCGTCGACCTCACAATTGCCTTCCACGACAACAGCATCAATCGGGATACTTGCTCTGCCTTTTACAGCTATAACAGTGTTCAATTTCACGTTATCCACGTTAATTTCTCACCGGTCTCAGCTAGGACAACCTTTTGAGGAACTACATTGACTAAGGACGACATAACAACATTCGCTCGTGTGATTATGAAAAGTTTGTGTCGTGAGAATGCATTTTTACCGTTAAAAAGCTTAACTTTGTAAAACTTAAACTCATCCACAAACACAAACACACCTTACGGCTTCTCAGTAGTCGTGAAGGGCAAGTGATCCAAAAACTGCCGACGATGTTACATAAATTGTTACCGACAAGAAACATATAACTATAACAAAAATACCGAAGTAAATTTAGTCAAAACGAGAATCTTAATCATTTTAGCTCAAGGACTTAAATGAACTAGATTTATCAGCTCATGCTTTTCACTTTACATTAAAGATTAACAAAAACAGAGTTGTTAGCTTGCAAGTCTTTTATAAATATAGAAATGACCCCACAAATATACATTATTCATACAAAACATAAAACAACATTAACAACTATATATTAATAATCAAAACAAGGATGTTGATATCAAACCTGAGAATTCTAACTGCTGCTAAAGCCTTTAGGATGTTTATCAAACCTGAGATTCTGTTATTTACTAACAATTAATTGTTAGTAGCTTACAAACCCCAAATGAACCATTAATTTGATTCCAATATAGCAAATCTATGATGGCTCCCAAAATACTGACACTACCAAAATTAAGTCAGAGCACAACAATCAAATGAAGTCTCTATTGTAGACATCGAAAATTTAATATTCTATTAATTAATGCCTTTATTTATTTTTTGGACATAAATCCATGATAAATAAGATATATAATTAATAATGTTATTATTTCTTGTCCACCAAGCCAAATCTTAAGATTAGGAAAGAGATTATATCAAATCCTAGGATAATGAAAGAGATTATATCAAATCAAGTAGGACCAATCAAATTTATGTCTTCTTCTACAAGACTCTCTCTCCTACACCTATAAATAGGGTTTTCCTTAATGCCACAAATCACACCTCAAGAAATCCAACACTTTAAAAAATCCAACACCCCAAAAGTTTTATGTTTTTCATAAAATTTGTTGTTACACCTTTAAAATGTCTAAATATCAAGATCTCCTTGACACGAGAATAAAAGGTCTACATATCAAAAAATGTCTACAAACTTGAAGGTTCCTTGACACGAGCATAAAATGTCTAAATATCAAAATCTCATTGACACGAGAATAAATGGCTTACATGTCAAACTTGAAGGCTCCTTGACACGAGCATAAAATGTCTACATATCAAGATCACCTTGACACGAGAATAAAAGGTCTACAAGTCAAATATCAAACGCTCCTTAACATGAGTATAACATGTCTACAAACTTGAAGGCTCCTAGACACGAGCATAAAATGTCTACAAATTTGAAGACTCCTTGATACAAGTATAAACTATCTATTAAATCAAATCATGACTCATTGATACGAGTTTAAACTATCTACAAATCATGTCAAATGAGAACTCCCTGATACGAGTCTAAACTATCTGCATGTCTCAACCAAATCCAAAACTTTGAGACTCATTCACTACCAAGACATCTTGTCCGTGAACAAGTCTCAAGGGGGCATTTGTAGACATCGAAATTTTAATATTTTATTAATTAATGTTTTTATTTATTTTTGGACATAAATCCATAATAAATAAGATATATAATTAATAATGTTATTATTTCTTGTCCACCAAGTCAAATCTTAAGATTAGGAAAGAGATTATATCAAATCCTAGGATAAGGAAAGAGATTATATCAAATCAAGTAGGCCCAATCAAATTTATGTTCTTCTCCAAGATTCTCTTTCCTACACCTATAAATAGGGCTCTCAATGCCACAAATCACACCTAAAAAAATCCAACACTTCAAAAAATCCAATACCCCAAAAGTTTTATGTTTTTCATAAAATTTGTTGTTACACCTATAAAAATTGCAACTTCAGAAACTAAAACAGAGGTGATTCTGACAACAAACTGAAAACCTCTAATTCTGTCAATTTAAACCAGGATCCTTAATCAGGGATCTGTCGTAGATTAGAGGAGGTGGAAGGTTTTCATTTTCTCTTACCATTAAGTTTCTCCATAGCCGAGCTTGGCTAACGAGCTCTAAGCTTTGATAAACCCGACAATCGAGCTCGCGTCCCTAGCTGCGTGGCGATTGGTGATGCTGATGGATGTAACTTATACGAAAAAACATAGGAATTTTGTCAAACCCTAATTCGGACTTTGGGTCGGGTAAATACGACACGAGTACATGAAATTAATCAGAATTATGGGAATTGTTTACGGCCAGGTGACCGAAATCAAGATCCCCATTCGATTCGGTGAATGTTACCTGAACTGAGTTTCCTTGAGACGATTAGGTTTACGGCGAGGGAAAGATGCTGAGCGAGAGTTTTAAAGAGAACAAGAACGGTGAGGACATTTCAATTCAGATGTGTAATAATATAAATCTTAAGGTTGTAAACTTGTAATGATATGTTATTATATTTTTAGGATTGATATACAAATTAAATAGAAATATAGGCTTGAAATTAAATACAAAAGTTATTTTATAATTAAGTAATTTTATTTAATTTTAAATTAAAGTAAAGTATAATGAGTTTTTAGCATGTACGAAACATACGCGGCAGTGTACGAGGCGTCCAACTTTCTTTTTTGCCTTGTACATTAAATCAATGATTGATTTTCATTTTTGGGTTAATTTAATGGTTGTTGACATCCGAGTTCGTCCTGAGAGGAAACCAGGCGTGACACCACCGAAAGCCGGGTCGGCGATTCGGCCCAGACTTAGAAGTACCGAGCTCGATCCTAATAATGGATGGGTGTCGGACCCGGGTGATTTTGTTTCCGAGGCTGGCATTTCTATCATCGAGGCGCCGATGTCGACCTCGAACAAGTGACGGCCTGAAGTATGGATCCTGAAGACCGGAGGCGGGTGAACGAGCTAGGTTGCTGATCTGAAATTCAAGAACGGCTATCCCACGGAAAGGCGCGGGGCTCGGTAATAATAAAATACTACCACTTGTTGGACAATGATTACGGATGGGACATACCACCACGTTCCTGACAGCCTAGGATACCTGGTCTGGCTAGAGGTTCTTCCAGCATTAAATGCTATCCATGTCAGCATTAAATGCTCTGCAGGTAATCATTAGAAGATCCACAAATTACTCACAATCAGTCAGAGGGATGCCGGCCTGTCTTTCAGGCTCACTGTGCGACAAGACAACCTGAACAGTGGAGGAACGGTGACACATTAAAGAACACTATAAATAGAAGTAGCCCTCATTTATTTTGGGTTGTTGAATCCTCAACTAACAGACTCCCCCTCTACTTTCTCTCTCTAAGCATTTGCAACACTCGTAACCGATTTCTGTGAAATATAAGATAGGTGCCGACCTCGTACGAGAGGCCGACCTCGTGATTATATAATAAACTGTGATTATTTCGTACTTTCTCTCCACCTTTTCCATTTCGCATTTTCATCACGTTGTATTTTAACCGTTGATTTGATCCATCCATCAACAGTTTGGCGCTAGAAGAAGGGCACCATAAGTTATTTCGTGTCAACGTTTCGATCTTCTGGGACTCCACACTGAATTCATTCCTTTTTCAACCTCTACTCCACTTCAAAACTTCCAAAAATGGCTTCATCTGGTCATAACGAGTCCACCCAACAGTCCGGCGCTCAATCCCGCCGGCACAACAGCGGGGAAACCTCTCGCCGCTCTCAGTAGGGGACTCAAACCCTTGCTCCGCCAATCCCCACCTTTGTTGCGGCAATGCAGCACCCCGACGTCCTCAAAGCCCTCGAGGGGGTCTTCTCAAAGGTACTCGCAAGCCAGACAGCCGGGGAAAATACCGTGGCCCCACGAAAAACCTCGGCAACACTCTGCTTCAGACCCCCGACAAAGAGGTCGGGGGGCAAAGGAAAAAACAGGCCAAATCCAAGACTACTCAGTCCCCCAATCATGAAGCCTGGAATCGCCGCGAAAATAGCGTGAGGTCGGCACCCACCGAGCAAACTGGCGAAAGCCAGCCAGAACATAGCGTATGTATCATCCGTCGGCCCATCCACCAGCGCTTGGGCGACAAAAGCCAAGCCAACCGCGACCTCAAGGAGGTCATTGAGCGGGGAAAAGCTATCGAGCGCAACACCGACGAAGTCAAAGCCCTTAAGCGCAGAATTGTCGAACTGGAAGGTCGACACTCTGTCCAGGAGGTGCCGTCTCCTCGCCCCCATACGCGACCAACTCCCCGGGTCGTGGACCACGCTTCACCTCTCTCCCCAGACATCCTTCATGAAGCCATCCCGGCAAAGATAAAGGTGTCGCAGCTCGGACTCTACGACGAAAGGTCCAACCCGGATTCCCAGATTGGCCTCTACACTTCGTGGATGGACTTGCATGGCGCGACGGACGCCTTGCGCTGCCGAATGTTCTCTCTAGCGCTGGGGCTGAAAGCGCAGAGGCGGTACCATTCTCTGTACCCCCATTCCATCTCCACCTGGGGAAAACTCAGGTCGACGTTCCGATCACACTTCATCGGGTCGCAGATCAATCTTTCCCCCAAGGAATCAATTGCCAACATCGTTCAAGGGGAGGACGAAAGTTTAACAGACTACCTTACTCGGTTCCACGACCGAGTCCAAAACATGAAGCAGTGCCACCCCGACGCGCTGCTGATCACCGCTCAGGGCGGTCTGAAACCAAAAACTCTATTTAAATGGTTTCTGTGTCAGAATAAGCCAACTACTTATCAAGAATTCCTTGCTCGAGCCCAAGACTTCATCATGGCGGAGGAGTCCTCGTCAATCCCAATGTTCGACGTCACGCCGACAAAAGGCAAGGCTAAAGAAGAAAAGTCAGGGAAGCCAAGCAAGTCGTTTGCTGAGATCCGAGCCTTGCGAAACAAAAGGCCGAAGAGCTGGAAGAGAACTATCAGTGTGTCTTTTCAGTGGGGACAGCTGCGGTCTATGAGGAGATCAAGGCTAAAGGCCTACTGCCGGACCCGAAGCCGATGTACGTCGACAAGGACAAGGTCGACAAGTCCC